AGGGGTAATGGCATAGATAATAGAAAAAGTGAATTTTGTTTTAATGGGTTTCCAACTTTTGAGTGTTCCAATTATCTTTTTACTCTCCCCCCCCCCCAAATCTGGTACAGTGAGTCATTAGACCACTATTAACTTGCCACCAGTTCACCATTAGAAGAAAAAAAAACATTTTTTACAGTGTAGAAAAAATTGCTGCTTGATTAATTTTAATTACATAATATAAAATTATAAATGCTGAAATGTTGTTTGTTTTGCATTATTAAATGAAATTGCTTTAATTTTATCTGTATTTTAGAACTTTTTCTGGGGTTTAATGCCATTCCTTTAGTTTCAAATTTGGTCTTGAAATAAAGCATGCAAATTTTCTTTGTTTTTCATAACTAAGACCTGATTTTTCAACTTTGATATATTTAGTTTTTTAAACCCGAAACTCTTTAACGTAAAAGACTTTCATTATTTTCTCTAGATTTACTATTCATATTATTAGCTACAAAAAAAAAACTAATGGCAGGGTGATAATTTTTTTTTCTCAATTTCTGTCAGTGCTGAATATTATGCAAACTTTAAATGATTCGTCCTTAGTAATTGTGAGTTGGTTTTATCCACCTTTACCGATCATCACTTGGATTATTTTTCTGATATTTTTCCAGTTCAGGAATATATTCAGAGAGATTTTCACAGAGGTGCTATAATCACTCCAAATAATGTTAATTCAGAGCTTTATTGAATGATCATAGGCATTAATAAATATAAAACATTATTTTATTTTATTCAAAATTAATGAAGCAAGTTTGTATTAGAAAAGGCTGTGGTAATAAGTGTTTTCACAACATGTGTGTGTGTGTGTTTCAGGTGTATATACTTATTTTCTCTATTCCAGCAGTTTATGTATGACAAGTAATATTCACTTGAATAATGACCATTTCCGTAAATTATAATGTAATAATAAAAAAAGAGAAAGTGGCATCAGTTTTTGATTGTCTTTAAAATGTGAGTCAATTATCACAGCATATTTATTTTTATATTTTTGAAACAGGCATTTTTGAAAGCTTTATTTCAGCTTTTGATGTAATTTTAGAATGTATTTTTTGCAGGGCATTTTCTTTTATTGTGTTCAGGTTGGGCAGGATGCTTAGATATTGTTTCTTCTGCTTAGATATGAGGCAACTTATAGCAGTTCCAAAATTTAAAATAATATTATTATTTAGATTTCATAGGAATGTGAGTGTGTAGAGAATTCATGACTGTATTTTCATTCACTCTTTATATTAATTTTCTGTGGAGGCAGCTATATTGTACTCATATGTGTAACATTTATTTACATTACTTACAAAGATGTGTATTGTGTCAAGTGAAGAAGTGCATTCACCTGAACCATTGCATTAATCTGCAAAGAGTGAAGTGTAGTATTGTCCAAGCCATTCTTATTTGTTATACAGTTGCGCTGTCCAAGCCATTCTTATTTGTTATACAGTTGCATGTATCAGATAATTTAAAAGAAGTTTGGGTAGCAACAGTTGTCAAGTATTTGTAGTGTTTAATAGTGTAGTACTGTCCAAGCCATTCTTATTTGTTATACAGTTGCACTATCCAAGCCATTCTTATTTGTTATACAGTTGCATGTATCAGATAATTTAAAAGAAGTTTGGGTAGCAACAGTTGTCAAGTATTTGTAGTGTTTAATAGTGTAGTACTGTCCAAGCCATTCTTATTTGTTATACAGTTGCACTATCCAAGCCATTCTTATTTGTTATACAGTTGCACTGTCCAAGCCATTCTTATTTGTTATACAGTTGCACTATCCAAGCCATTCTTATTTGTTATACAGTTGCATGTATCAGATAATTTAAAAGAAGTTTGGGTAGCAACAGTTGTCAAGTATTTGTAGTGTTTAATATGCAAATTTTATACAGTAAGAGCATTAGTGACATCTTTCTGGTTGATATTACTATACATTTAGACTCCTGAAAAACAATGGAGATAAAAGTAATGCATGTTTAGTTTGGCTGATATTGAACATATTTCTAAGAGTCAGGTTATTACAGTATATAGGAATGTAGTCATGAGCTGGACATTTATATTGTGAAGTGTTAGTTCATATTTTTAGTATATATTACTCAACCTTACATTTATGTTTTAATTTTTATCAATATTTTAATCTATTATGCAAAGTAATATATAGAGAGGAATTTGACTTTAAAGATACATTATATTGTATACAAGCCACTGAAATGCATATACATATTTTTAGCTGTGGCATAGCAGCTTACAGAATGTTTTTTTTTTTCCAAGTACAAACTTTTAGCTCATAGCTCTGTCATCTCTTGACTGATGTGACATCTAATTACAGTTTTGGGCTCAGGAGGTCAAACACTTTCGTTTGATATATTTGACCATGCCGAAGGTCTCATAGATTAATTTACTTTCATCCTTCCTAAAAGAATTTGAATTTGAGGGTAAACTGGTAGAGATCCTGATGAGTAATAAAATCAAATTGGGTATATGGATGCCCCATGCTTGGTTTTGCTGGTGCACAAAAATATAGCTAATAAAAAGGAAAAAAGGTCTCATAGATTAATTTACTCTAATTCTGCCTAAAAGAATTTCAAGTGTTGTATCTGTGGAGGATTTCCTCTTGTTTACAAATGGTTTAATGTATTTTAAAAGTAATAACTTTTAAGTGAAGGTAAGTAGCAACTTTTTAAAGTAGCTGTTGGTCTATGTACTCTCGGGTTTTAAACCACCTCCGTATAACTTCTGTTGATGACATTGCACCTCTGCAGATATTTTTGACAGACTTACATTCTGGGATTATATCAGTTATTTCCCTGATACATTACTTAATATTGGCAAGTGTAGTGGACTTAGAAGTGTAAACCACAGACTTGATATGTCCCTGCGTTCAAAAGTCTTGTGGCAATAGGTTTGGAAAGTCTTGCATTCTGACTAAAGGTCCCATTTGGATAATAAGCAGTTAGTGTCTCCTAGTGCTAAAAATTGGGTTTTGATATCCATAGAGAGCAAAGTACAGGTAGTCCATTGTGTGGCTTTGTACTTAACAATAAACAAAAAAACAGTTTGGTAGGATATTGTTCAGTGCCCAACAAATACAAAATAGGATAATAATTCATCTTAGTGGAAGAGGAACATATCAATAACACTGGTAGAAAAAAGCTTTCTAGTATTTTGAGGGTAAAAGAGTCCATTGAGTTATTTATTGAAATATTAATGTCTTCACTTACACTGAGTTCATTTAGTACTTCCCTTAAAATGCACAGACCTTGTCTTTTTAACTGCTTTTACTGTGAATTGTTCATTGATGTATGCACATGATAGAATTGTTATTAAACAAGAATAAAAGTCTTGTACCACAGAATGATTTGTGCTTTTTGCTAAACAGTTGCAATTTTGTTAGTATCAGATAACAAAATCATACAAGATATAATAAACTTGATTTTTTTTCACCAACATGATTGTTATCATGTCATTAATTTCATTCATTTTAATATTACTGTGTTTTAAAATGTGTTGAGCCTCTTTTATGCATTCTTGTTAAACAATAATAAAATCTTGCTGTACAAGTTTTTGCCAAAAGCCTAGGTCTACTTATACTTTGAAAGGAAAAAAAAGGAAGAGCTTACTCAGTTTATCAACTTAGTGCTTTTCAGTATTTGAAGTTTTGACACATTAAACTTAATACTTCTCATTAAGGTAGGTCATTTGGATAAATATCTGAGTCTTGATACAGAAACTAATAGCATGAATATATTTAGTGCTAATTGTAATACATGTATGTCTTTGTGATGATGCCACGATAATCACAGTATTTTGTCATTGATTATCTGTATGTTTAATTAGAAGAACACACATATATATATTAATTTTAATAATGTGTTTGTCTTATTATTTTACTTTGAAATATTATAATTACTATGAAAAATTATCTTATGGGACAGATTACTGAAGAAAAATTTAGTAAGGTGTTATAGGAGGACTCTGTAAATGTTTTTTTCCTTTCTTTGTTTGGTTTCCAATGAACAAAACTTTGCATATTGTGTCTCTAGCCATCACAATGCTAAGCCTGTGCATTAGTATATACACGTGAAGGAATGCTTCTGTATATTTTACCAAGATTTTTAAAAATCATTAAAAGTAATATTTCTATAATTAAGATGAAAAGGGTTAATTTATCAGTATTTGTAATAAAAATATAATATGTATAATTTTCTTTTGTAAAACTTGTAATACATTTGCTTTGTTGAGACTGAATGTACACTTTCTTTTGAAGAGACAAAGTACAACTTAGTAATTATTTTTCTAGTTTTGTATTTTAGGTTATCCTTTTATTATACATTAATAAATAAAAAAGCATGGAAGTTCAATTAACAGATATTAGTGCTTTGTAAACTTTGCTAACCAAGAACTGTATTTTGAAGTATAATTATTTAAATAAGTGCATACAAAAGCTTGTGTGTTAAAGTTCCCATGCTGACTAATTTAGTCATAAAATTTGCAGTGTTTAATGGTTCCTGATAATACAGATAATTAACACTAAACCATGCTTGATACAGTTTTGTTGCATGAAATCACTCTTATTAAACCACAAACCTGGCTGCAGTTTTCCTGCTTTAACTTGTATTTATTCTTCCTTTTTTTGTCATAATATTTAAGCTCTGAGTTATACTGTTTTATAGATTTTCAAGTAGTGAGTGGTAGGTTTTATCTAGCAAAGTTAGTAAAAAAACTACTGAAAGGATATTTACAATTGTATAAGAAAGATGAATAATGAAATGATTTTTGAATAAAAATAATCAAAAATACAACTATTTGTTTTTATTTTTATAGTAATTTAAAATCATCTGATGATCTGTCTGAAATTTTGCTCCATTAGCTAAAACATTTTTATACACAACTTTTATATCTGTTATGAGAAAGATCCAGTATATTTCAGATTATGTAGAATAGATCAATTCATAGTCAGCATTTTCTGAAACGTTTAGGAAACACCCCTCTGATGTACGCATGTGCAGGAGGTCATGAGGAGGTGGTAAAGGTACTTCTAGAATCTGGGGCCAACGTTGAGGATCACAATGAAAATGGCCATACACCACTTATGGAAGCAGCTAGTGCGGGGCATGTTGGTGTAGCAAAGATTCTGGTTGAACATGGGGCTAGTATTAACACTCACTCCAACGAATTCAAAGAAAGTGCCCTCACTTTAGCTTGCTATAAAGGTAGGAATAAAGCTGTAATATGGAGCAGAATTTTAGTATTTATTATTAATAATGAGCTGACTGCAATCAGGTGTATGTGCTACAATGTAAATTGTGTAGTTTTTTAATTTTTGTAGCAATTACATTTGTGTTTTGATATCATTGTAGTACTAACCTTGTTTTTTGTGTTTTTTTTGCACTGTGATATGCAAGCTGCCTGTGAATATCTTGAAATAATATACTAAAACATTAAGCATTGAATACTAATATCACACCACTAACTTTTTTGTGTGGATTTCTTAACGTCTCATTGAAAGAATTCTTAGTTTTAACTCTTTTATGATAAATCATTTTCAATGAGCATCATTGGAGAAGTTGTTTAATTACATTATATTTAACTTATAGGTCATCTAGAAATGGTTCGGTTCCTTTTAGAGGCTGGTGCTGACCAAGAACACAAAACTGATGAAATGCACACAGCTCTAATGGAAGCCTCTATGGATGGCCATGTTGAAGTGGCTAAGCTTCTGTTGGATTCTGGGGCTCAGGTTAGTGTTTATGTATTTTGTGAGATTTTTTCTTGTGTACATGTTTTATTAATAGAATGTTAACTTTTACCTTTGATAAGTATACATCATGGTTATGTTTACATAATAGAGGAGCTTAGCACTGGCCAAAGCACCAGCTCTACTCTCTGTTGCAGCACATTTGTTAGTGCACATCCAGATAGCATGGTGCTGTCCCTAATTTTGAACCACCTACCACAGGGAAGGAACTGGTTGGCAGCAACCTATTGAAATTTTTACATATATGTTATTTAGTTATTCATTACTTAATTTATTTTTACTTTATTTCATTATTTATTATTATTATATATCTCTTACTCCAAGATCCCAATCTAAATAAAAGGATATTGCACATTTAATATAAATAAGTGGAGATCAAGATTGCTAATCGCTGCTTGACACTATAGCAACAAGTCGAACAAATGCAAGACCAGACAAAAATCAACAAACTGGTATATATATTTGCACAAGCTAAGCAAATTAATTCAGGTTAACTGTTGTATTCTCTAAATAACTTGTTATTAATTAAAATATTTAAGAAATTAAGAAGGATAGTAACATTTTTAACAATAGTCATTGAGAACAAAACTCTAAAGGTAAATTAGATGTTTCATATCTTTTGAGTTTTGTATAATATAGTTTAATAAATTGTTTTTAAACGGTGAATTTTGGTATTTTTCTTAACAGTAACCAGGCCTAACACCTTTGTTTTTATACATATATATCTTTATAGACACACATACACAATTAAAAGGAGTAAACATTAAAATGATTACACAATAAATAATTTATTGAAATCAGGGACAAGCCCTAAAACAACTGTACATGTTTCAGTGTTCTTATGCCACCAGCTTCAGAAGTAAAAGTTGAAATTTGTTCAAAACTTATATAAGTACATAATCATTTGCTTTACTTTGGCACCATTTAGACTTAAAACACCCATAGTTTATAAAACATATTTCTAGTACTTTATTTCTTCTAAACTTGGACTCACTTCTTTCTTCAGCCTAATATCTTTGTTTTTCAATTTCTGTTGTTCATCTGATATTTCATTCAAATCTAAACTCTATTTGAAATAGCAATACATTACTCCAGTCTATAACAAGAGAAGTGCTTGCCACATGTTCTGCTAAGGCCAGCTCATTTACTTTATATTTTTCTACCACATTTTTATGTTACTTGATGCTAAGTTTCAAATTTCTGTACACTTAGCCAATGTAAACTCAACCACAGAAATAAGGAATTTTATAAACCTCACATTTAAAAACTTCTTCTACTCTGTCTTTTATACCCGTGAGAAAATTATTTAATTAGAGAATCTTACAGTACATTCTATATATTTTTTGATTATGTAGCCTATTCTTGTTGAACATATGGCAAACAAACCCTCATGTCATCAGCTTTACCCTTTCCCTTTAACTTTTTACATGATGTCATTTTTAATTTATTGTTATGTTTTTTGTACAATCTATCAATGATTTTTGGATTATATCCTCTATCTCTAGCTACATGTTTCAAGACGATTAACTCTGATCTTAATTTACATCATGAGTGCAGAATATTAAAGTTCTAAATACAAATGTGGAAAAGGCACGTAGTTTTTGTGCTCATGGGTGACATGATCTATTGTGTGGTGGTACAGCCACAGAAAATGGTTTCCCATAAACAGACGTTGAGAGACACCCATTATCCTTCTTAACTGTCATGCCTAGGAAAGTTAACTAACCCTCTTTTTTTTCCATCTGCAGCATACATCTAATAGTATGATCGATTGAATTGAAATGTCTTTCAAACTGCAAACACAAGTAGAATTGAAATTTAAATTTAATATCAGAGAAACAAGAGAAGCTTAAAAAAAAAGTAAGATATTGTGCTGAAGAAAAAAGTGGGTCCGGGTTTAGAAGAAATAAGGTATTGGACATATGGTTTATAAACTCTGGGTGTTTTAAGTCTAGATGGTGCCAAAGTAAAGCAAATGATTATGTAATTATATAAGTTTTGAACAAACTTCAATTTTTACTCCTGAAGGTGGTGGTGTAAGAATAATGAAACATGTATAGTATTTTTAGGGCTGGTCCCTGTCTTTATTAAATTATTTATTGTGTAATTATTTTAATGTTATACTCCTTTTAATTGTGCCATTTTAAATTATTTACCATTGTTTTTTTTTTCCCATCTTACCAGATGTTAAAGCCGTAACAGTTAAAGAATAGACCTGCTAATTTATTATCTAATATATCTACTCAACATTTTAGAATTATTCTTGTCATATACTATCTAATGTATATGATCAACATTATGGGATAAGCTTACTATATATTATCTTCTCAACACTATATAGCAACAGTGCAAACAAATGTAATCTCAATTTTGTAATTTAATTTGAATTTATGCAATCTAATTAAGGTGATTCAAGTTGACTAGTGTATTCTCAAAATAACTTGTAATTAATTGGAATATTTGAAAGAAATTAAGAAGAATATTAATTGGTTCTTAAATAAGATCAAAGTTTTTAGAGCTTAGCTTTCAGTTGTCTTAACTCTCCAGCACCTTTGCTAGGAAGTCATTGTATATTTGTTTGCCCAGTTGCTATAGTATCAAGCAGAGTAAATAGAAGGCCTATTATATAGTGTTGAGCAGATATGTTACATATCAAATTAGCAGGCCTGAGTTTACAATTTTGTTTGCTCACACTAAGTTGTTTAGCGGTTTAGTTTGCAAAAACTGTGCTTTTGATCTTGCTATATTATTACTTAGTGAAATGTTTAGTTGAAAGTTATCAACAAAACATATATTTTCAAGTTAGTTACAATATTCTATATTAACCTTAGTACTGAATCTAGTTTGCCAATAAACTTGTTCTTATAGATGGTAAATATGACAGTTGGGGCCACAAAGGTGTTGGTAAGCTGTAGGTTACTTGTAAAATATAAATTGAGATTGCTGGTTTCAACAGGGGTATTTGGTGAAAAGAGGTGTTAGTAGAATGTATGCACATAAATATTTAGCCACTGTTTGAGATGTCAGTGGAAAAAAGTAAAATTTACTGAACAAATGTGGAAATTGCATAATGATATTTAAAAATTTCAGATTTGCCTTGTAAAGAAATTAATTTGTTCCAGTAATAAAAACAGTTATGTGACATAGCTGATTACTGTACTGTTATGCAACAAATCTTTAACTGTTGATCAGAAAGCTAGTTTAAAAACACATGTTTAATAGCACTAATAGCATCACTGGCCTAAGACATCGTATAATAGCCTATTCTGTTAAAAGATACCTGTGAGAAATGTTTTATATATATCATTAAACTAATATAAATGGGCAGTATTTATTGAAATATGTTATATTTATAAAATTCAGCTCTTTAATCTGTGAAGTTATGTATAGTTGTGTAGAATAGATCCCCTGTTAATTGCCAAATTCATGCTGAGTAAAGTCCATTGTAAGATCTTTAGTTCAAAATGAGTAGAAGGAGCATTTTGTAAATAAAAAAAGGAACTGTTAGAGTATCTACTTCAATAAAAGAAACAAGAGGGAATCAATATAATTAAGTAACCTTTACATAACATTAGAAAATACAAAACCATGATATGGTTAAATTAATACTTTTTTCATACTTACTGCAAGTTTATAAAGGGTAAGTGGTAAGTTCAGTGACATAAAAACAGTATCAAAGTTAGTGTACAAGTAGTATCTCATTGAAAGACATAGGAAATGAGAAATGACCACTTTAGATACTGAGATTGTACAGTATAGATATAGTTTGAATTTCTTGATTGCTTAAAAACTACTCTAGTTTTGCATTTGGGCAATTGTAATAAACCTGTTTTACTGTTAAAATAATAGGTTATTAGAAGATAAGAAAAAAATAATTGAAAGTCTGGACAGAAATAGAAAATTCAGTAATTTGTCACTAGATCCCAGTGTTGAATTCCTTTTCAAGTTTTGTTTTTATCATACTTAGATTTTCTTTAAGTAATTACTGTTATTATGAGATATTTTCAGTTGCTTATTTCCTTATTACTTTTCTGTCTTTATAGAGTATTTTATTTATTTTAATACAGAGCTTTGCTAGATATAACTTTTTTTAAATTTCTTACATTTATAAATTTGGCATGTTTTGTCACTAAACAGTTTACCATCCCTACAAGGTAGTGAAAATGATATATTTTTGAATAAGTATTTTATCATGTTGTTAATGTTCATTTTAGTTAAAATATCACATTAATAACTTTGCTATTAAAGAATTTAAAACACTGTTATGATAGGATGTTTGTTGACCATAAAGAGAGAAGTATAAAGTTTCATAAAAACCAGGTTGAAAAATAGAAAGGCTTAGAAACAGATTTCAACTAAGGTATAAAAATAGTATTTTGATAAGTTAGATTTATGAGTTGTATTTTGAAATATTTTAAAATTGTATTAAATTTAAAATGTTATCTGGACTTACAATAAAAATACTTGCATATAATGCTAATACATTTCTGTCATTCATTCAGTAACATTCATCTCTGCTGATAAGGTTGGTCATAAAAGTAAATTCTTTGTTTACTTCCATAGTGAAAATAACTGTAATTTTTGGACCTCTTCCCTGTTTTTTGTATTGATTTATTTCTTAACACACTGTAGCAGTGGTTTATTTCAAGCTGACATTTAATTATAATTGGATAGTTATTTGCAAAAAGTGTTTATGATTCATATCAGTAAACTATAATTGATCTATACTTCACCAACTAGATCTTTTTTTTTTTTTTACAGTTTCTCAGAATCTTGAGAGTCATAAATGTAAACAACAGACTCTGAAAGCATGTAGATCAAAAACTTGCAGGGTTTGTTTGTCTCAGAGTACTCTTAGATTATAAAAAATGTATGACTTAATGTTTTTAATTAATAGAATATATAATTGTACATTTGAATTAAGGTGTAATTGAGTAGATATTCACCTATTTGAGAAGCAATTTTGAATCTGACTAAAATGATGTATTACTTATTCTTTAAGTAATTGTATACATGAAGTGCTTATGTGAATAAAGATTGAAAAAATTCACACATTGTTTTGCAAAAAATCTGATATGTTAGGTAACCAAGCAATGAATTACTTTTTGGCTAAGGTGACAATGTGTAACACTGAGCATGCTAATTAAAACTTTTATATAAAAAGCCATTTATGGAAAGAAAGTTAAATAAGGATTGTAGCAATTGTAAACTAAGATTAAAAAAATGCCAAAAGTACAAACTACCTCATAGACAATCATAAGCATAGCTTAATACAAACATGTAGTATTACTTCATACTTAATGTTTCTGTTTTTTTGAGAAATTTCTGTTTTAGAGCTGATATAATATTAAACCAAGTGTTTATATTTTATAAGGTGAATATGCCTGCTGACAGCTTTGAATCACCGTTAACTTTAGCAGCTTGTGGTGGACATGTAGAATTGGCTACTTTGCTTTTAGAAAGAGGTGCAAACATTGAGGAAGTCAATGATGAAGGGTATACACCATTAATGGAAGCTTCCAGAGAAGGTCATGAAGAAATGGTTGCTCTACTCCTAAGCCAAGGTAAGAGACAAAGGTATTGGTATTTGTGCTTTGTTACTCCACAGGTGTGTTGTTTCTCTGCTAAGGAACCATGGTGACAATTGAAGTAAGAAACTGGTATTGCATCCAGAGAATATCATCAAGAAGTGATTGCTCTACTCATAAACAAATATTAGAAGTAAAACAAAACATTCAAGTTTATGCATTATTTATCAACAGATAGTCAGAGAAGGTAATCAACAAATGGTTACTTTAAAGCCAAAATAGGAGTAAGAAACTAGACCAGTGTTTTTAGGCCAAATAGGAGTAAAAAACTAGACCAGTGTTTTTAGGTAATGGCTTGGCCTGACCTGTTGTGTGCTATAGTGGTATGATTTCTTCCTCTCTACTTGTCATTTTTCATCAAAATTTGAAGTTATCATGTATTGTCAGTGAAGCTGTTGAGATTTCTAATGTTATAAATGAAAGTATGTCTGCAGTCATAGTCCTTTTCAGAGAAATGCACATGAATAAGTCTAAATATGTTGGTGAAATATTACTAATGCTAGGTTTATAGGAAAATTTTTGATTGACACAATAATTTGTGCAAAGCTGAATATTAATTTTACAATTACATATCTATATGTTTGTGTAGTCAAAACACTTGCTAGTCTTAAAAATAAATAGCCTTATTAGCATATATGGTACATTCTTTATGCATGTATGATATACCAAACAAGCAATAATATATGGGCTATGTGTCCTGGCAGTTAGCATTTATAATTCTGCTGGAAGTGTCTGATAATTTTTGAAAAATAAATGAAACAAGTAGTGGGAATTTTTGAATTTTAAAGTTTATCTGAATGTGATATTGATTCATAATTTTTTATCATTTTGTTGATTTCTGAAGGTGCAGACATTAATGCTCAGACAGAAGAAACCCAGGAAACTGCTCTTACTCTAGCATGTTGTGGAGGTTTTCTGGAAGTTGCAGAATTCCTTGTCAAAGCTGGTGCTGACAATGAATTGGGAGCAAGTACTCCCTTGATGGAAGCTGCACAGGAAGGACATTTAGAACTTGTTAGATATCTCATTAATTCAGGTGTGTCTTTTATGCATCATTTCTTTGAAAGCAGTTGAATATAAAATAATAAATAATGACAAAGAGGTATACACATTTTCAATACATAATATGCATGTTATATTTTAACACATTAAATTTTTTAGATATTAATTATATTTTTGTAGTGATTTACAAATTGTTATTCTATTCCAGATTTCATGTTTTTACTAAAATGTTTCATTTAAAAAAAATTATATTATTTTATTGAATATATGTATGCAAAAATGAAATACTGTGTTTGACTAAAAATAATATTTTCAAAAATATATCTGTAACTATTTTTATAAATGATAACAAGCATATAATTCTAATTTGGATGTTTTTGTGAAAGGAAGGGAAAATTTTCTAGTAAGTTCATCAAATTTCACATCTAGTGTGACACATTATTAAACCATTAAAATTTTAAGACTGAATTGATAGAAATATTGCAAAAATTCTTACATATCATTACACTTACATAAATGTTTATTACAGATCTAGACTTTGTATATTACATTAAGGGGTATTTGTAAATCACTTGGTTAAAGTGTAGCTCAAGTTACCATATTGAATTACATAATGCACTAGCTGCTCATGAGCATACTCATGATGAATTATAATTATTTTTTTTATTTTACCTAATCTAATTTGATAAGTTTCTAATTTTTACATATTAATTATTTTTATAATAATAGATAAAGAATACACAAGGATTATGGTACTTTAAATGATGCACCTAAGAACACAGAGTAATAACATACACAAAGCAAACAATGTCCTATAGCTATCGTAATTTATATGACTCAAAACAATGTGATAAGAACCTTTAAAAACTTAGCTAAGTTTGTCAAGTGAATACTGCGAGAGAATTTTTCAAACTGGAAGTAAAAGAGACAATATTCTGTACAAAAAACAATATACAATGATACATCATTTGATATATTAAAACTGGTTATTTATTTGTTATGAATAATATAGTATAAAATGTCAGAGAGAATTCTAGGCAATTTGTGAAAGAGAGGATATGATGTGGGCTTGGCAAGTGGGTCTGATTTTTTAGTTTATGGCTCTGTAAATAAACAAGATTGAAGGCTATGAAAATTATTTTTTACCTGAGTGATATCTATATTATAGTGAGTAATTTATATTAAATTCTGTACTTCTCAGAGGGGTGGTAAATAAATTAGAGATAAGGGAAGATGTAGAGAACAATTGTCACAATTCTCATACAAGGGGAGATTGAGGATTTTCTAAATATTTCCTTATAAAATTAAGATGTTAAAATTTATATAAAAATTTATTTTAAAATTTGTTTTATTGAATATGTTTTGATACCAAATTTATTCACATACAATGATAATAAAGTAATTAAATTTTGAATGTAACTAAAAAGTCGTGACATGCACATTTTGACCTTCTCATATAGAGAAGGTTAATGACATCATGTACTAGCCCACTTTGTTGATATAAATTCTGAAAAACAAATTCATGTATCATTAAACTTATATATAAATAGGTAGTATTTATTTATCTTAATATATCTGTATTCTTGGAAATTACGTATAGTTGCTACAAATAGATCCCCCACTAATTTCTAGATTCATGCTGAGGTAAAATCAACTATAGGATTTTAAGTTTATAATTAGTAGAAGGAGCTTTTAGTAAATCAAAAAGAAACTCTCAAAGTAGTTACATCAAGAAAATAAGCTAACAGGGAATCAGTTAAGTAGCCTTTACATAACATAAAAAAATACAAAATCATGATATGGTTAAATTATTTGAATAGTTTTTCCATACTAATTAAAAGTTTAGAAAAGAGGACTTGCAAGATTGGTGGCATAAAAACAGCATCCAAGTTAGTATTCAAGTAGTATCTCTGAAAGACAGAAAGAATAGAATTCTTTGACATCAATTTTATGTCTGAACTTCTTGAGCTATCAGTTATGTGCACACTAGGCTTGCTAGAATTTGTGTTAGATGAAAGTTAGACTAAATAAAATCTTAAATCTTGATTTAGGCTCAAAACTGGTGAGATGGAATAGAATATGAGGGTTTTTTAGACCAAAATGTAGATACTTGCAGGTCTTTATTTTTCTTAAATTTTTATATTTTGATATGTTTACAACCATTTTTAGACAACTTCTATTTATTGATGACAATATTTATTGATGAGAGGTACGTGCTAACCACTTTACCAACTGCGATTAGTGTTACAAATTTCCTTTGTCTTACTGACTGCAGAATTATAATTTGTATTAGTACCTTATTGTATAGAAGTAAGTAGCACAGGTGCATTATAATTAATTGTCTCCACAGAGTGACATACTGTTTTTCTATCGTTTCTTCTCCCAAACACTTTTCACTTTACCGTCATTCCTTCATTTCTTGTCAGATTGAAACTTGGTAGGATTATACCTTGGTCCAATATGCTCAGATTTTGATTTAGGCCGTTTTGAGGATTTTATGTGGTCAAAGGTAAAACAACCCCAAAATGTATATTTTGGGCTCATTTATGATCATATTTGCAGCAGTCAAGATGCAAATTGGCACAAATATAACTTTTCTTGCACCCATACAAAAAAAGTTGGATTTTTCCATTTTGAGTTTTTATAGGGGGCTCAGATCTCACACAAAAGCATACTTTTGGAGTTTTTAGTCATTTACTCAGCTGTATTTTGATCAATTTACATGGGATTTTGTATAAAAATATTCTTCTACACATTAACAAACAAAAATCGTGGACTTGTCCATTTTTAGTAATTATTGGGTGGTTAAGATGCCACAAAAAGCATAATTTTAGGGGTTTTTTTGACAACTACACTGCTATATTTCGGCCAATTTACATGGGATTTGGTACAAAGATACTTTTTTTATAGTGTCCAAACATAGATATAGACAATTTTGGACTTTTTTCTTTTGCTCAATTTTTCTGTGGGGAAAGCACAATTTGGGGTTTTCATGAACTATTCATGTGTATGTCAACCAATTTACATGGAATTTGGTACAAAGATACTTTCTTGCAGTTCCTAAGCAGTGATATAGACAGTTTTTTGGTCATGTTGAAATTGTGTGGTGGAGACATGTTACATTTGCCTGCAAGTGTTAGCCTTTATATTTTGCTGTTTGACTTACTTGAAGCACCTTTCTGCAGGATATTAAATATCATAACTGTTGCCTGGCATTCTAGTTACATAGTTCCATATATTTGAAGAGCTTATTGGTATTTCCATCTGCAATGGCTAATAACTTTGGCAAGTTTCTTTCCTGTTTACAGAGCCACAGACATATGATGAGGTGACCTGTTTGAATAACTTGTGCTTCATATTGCTGATCTGAAACAGGGTACAGAAATACCTACTCACTGAATGTCAACAGTGGGCAGCACTGTTTTGTCAAAGTGCAAGAAGATGAAAAAAAAAGTTGCAAAATTTCTACATTTTCAGACAACGATATATACAATTCAACTGCTATCATAAATGATCAATAAATATAGGTAGAGGCTATGATTATACCATTACTGATATGTATGTACGGTTCTATTTTTGGACTATTTCTGAGTCTTAGTCATAACCAGTTACTGCTATAACAGTAGCTAGCATTGCTTATGTTATGCTATAACTATTAATGGGTAAGCTGTAACATATTGAACAATAAAGAAGACATCTTGTCTTTTTGCTGTTACAAAAACCTTAGATGCTTGTGTTTGAAACATGGTACAATGTTGATAACAAGGTCGGTAAGTATTGAAATTTTAACCATATTTGATGGTATACCTCCTTTAACAATTTCATTACCAGCAAATGCATTAATGGAATAGATATAGCCACTGAACTCACATTATGATTAGCATAAGTAAAATCACTATGGTAAAATTATATATGTATCTTAACTATTGTGGCTAACTTAAATAAAGTCAAATTAGCCAGATGGTAAGACCATTTTTGATTTTTAACGCTAATACATTTGTAGATTTATGATATATACTGAATTTTCTGAGCATTACAAATTTTCTGTATTTTTATTAATGGTAGGTTTCGAAAAAGTTTCTTATACTTGGGAATTTTTATTTAATATTTTTTATTTTGGAACATCAGTAAGACAATAGGCCAATATTTAGAACAGTAATGTATTAGTCAGAATAATGCAAAGTGATTTATATATTTTTTTCTATTATGAAGAGTGTGTTGGTTCACAAGTTCTTCAGGTTTGATTATTTTTAATGTGTTATATCAAATGAGTATCATCAAGGAAAGAAGTAAAATGCTAAAATATTGGAAAATTAGAAAAATTTGAATATGTGGAAACATAGTATGCAGGTGATACTATCAGTATATTGGAGGCACTAGCAATTATTAAATGTGACTGTTTATTACTGTATTAAAACAGTATATTTCAACAATATCATGGAAAGTTTAGTGTCTGGATAGGTTAAAAAATTGTAAGTAGAAACTAAATATAGATTGTAACTTAGATTCAGAATAATCTTAATAAATTTACTTAAGTATAACATTGTAATTTGTTGTATTTTTGTATGGAAATTAAGAAAAAGTCAATCAGAGATAGAAATGAGACTTATTTGTTTTGGTTAAAGTGATTGCCATTATTATTTTTTCTAAATTTATGTATTTATCACTTAGTTTAACTTATCCTTGACAATTTAAAAAACAGCTTCAAAATGTTATTCAATAAAGATAATTATTTTAAATAAACAGAGAATTTGTAGGTAGTATTCATTAAAATCCAGAATGTAAATAATACTTTAATTATTATATATGGAACTTGAGAAGTTGATAAGAAAAGTACAAGTGAAGTTTTAAGTGATTAGATGGAATTTATTAACTATAAAGAAAAGAAAAAAAGATGTACTTTTTTGAATGGTATTTTGCAAAGAAATATATGATAATGATGTGCTGAAATTTCTTTAAGTTCTATTTGTAATATTTATTATATGAGTTCTAATATGTTTAATAGAACTATTTATTTTATGTTGTTGATGCTCAACAGATTTTAATGTAATTTCTAAAGGATGTCAGCATTTTACAGCTAATTTGTTAAGAATGAGTTGTAGATAAAAAGTTAATTGAAGAAAAGATTCTTGAAAGAATTATGATAGTAATTGTGCTGAAACTTGTGTCCAATAATAGTTTGACATGGCAGGATATTGAAAAACAGATTTTGTATATTTCTAAATAGGTGCCAATGTGAATGCTCAAACTACAACTGGAGATACTGCTTTGACCTATGCATGTGAAAATGGACATACAGATGTAGCAGACTTACTTCTCCAAGCTGGAGCAGAACTGGTAACTTAATTTTTAATATTAGAAATTTTTCAGAACCTATTCTTTAAAGTATCTGCAGAGAATAAATTGACCTTGGTCAACAAAGAAAAGAAACACAACAAGTGAACAAATAAAATCATAATTCACAGAACATTACTATGACATTCTTGTTAACAGAATATCAAAAGCCTGTAAGCATGTATTAATCCTTTTCCTTGGGTATAAATTGTAAATGTCAACAGCTAAAAACTTGTATCATTTTGGCTGTGTATCTGTCTCCCCTGAGGAAGGACAAGCCCATTTCAAGGAATGACACATGTACTTGCACAAAATGGCGTGAGTTACCACTTTTCTCTCCTAAAAATGTTATTTAATAGTCTGTAACATATGCCACATTTGCACACTGGTACACCAAACTTTTAATGTTTTTGTATGAATACAGGTAGTAAATATGGATTATTACTGTCCTTGACTTGTGCAAGTGTAGAAAAAATCCTTCTAAACCCCAACCACCAGTAGAAGTCATAATAGTAAAGCAAAAAATCAGCCAATTTGCAAATCAAATACATATACATTTTTCATCATATTAGTTATGAAAGTGCTTAATTCATGACTATTTCAGTTAATACAGTTATAGTGTTCTGTCTGTTGGCAGGAGATCTTGCTGATAATATTAAGCTTATCATTTGGAAAATATATGCACAATAACAAGTTGTCTTTAAAAAGGTAAGTAACTGTAGGGGGGGTTTCAAATTCTGATATTGCTCCTCTTTGAATGTATTAAACAGCATAATGAATGTAGAATGACTTAGGCATCAGTTCACTGAAGCATGATTTGAATGTTTGTTTTTAATTCTGTCTAAAGTATTATGAAATTAAAACAATATCATAATAATACTATGAAGTTCTTTGTAATATAAATCAAATTTGAAATACATAGTAGAATTCTTTATGTATTTCAGTAACCTATGATACTTTTGATTTATTTAAACATGCAAACAGAGCATTCAAGAGAGACAAAGATGAGTGTAGTAATTAAATAGAATAGGGCCATATGACTGAATCAAACAAAAATTCTAGTTTCAAAAGTAACACATGCGATGTGAAATTATATTTTAATTTATTACAGTTACATAATTTATTTTAATATTATCTTTTGATCCATGCACTACATAAACACTTGTTACATAATGAATCACTTAGTTCTTTTTTCACTGTTCTTTATGCTTCAATTGATATTTTACACATTTTGAACCATAACTCAAGAAAAGTCTGTCTCAAATTTTTTGTATTTTAATTTCTATCTCAGACTTTTATACCTTATATTAACAACCTCATTAAAAAATGCATTTTATTTCTTTTAATGCCACTAATAGAGTTTGACACCACCTTTCCTTTTACCAGCTGTTAACCAACATTAGTCAAGTCCGCTCCAATAAACCTTTCAGATAACGTGTTATTGGATAAAATAATGAGAATTTGAAAATTACTATGAAGTTCTCCATAATTTAAAAAAATTTGAAATACATAATATAATTCTTTATGTTGAGTGTAAATGAAACTGACTAATTAGAATTTTATAAATAATATACTGTTATTTACTATTATATTTTGAGATCATGAATCTGAGAGAGTAAGAACTTCTAAAAAATTAATTGGATTAAGCCTTGTTATATATTTATAGTGGATATGTTTTTCTTTTTAGGAGCATGAATCTGAGGGAGGAAGAACACCTTTGATGAAAGCAGCTCGTGCAGGACGATTGTGTACCGTCCGATTTCTCATTAGCAAAAAGGCATGTGTCAACAAGCAGACAACAAATAATGACCATACCCCTCTTTCTTTAGCATGTGCAGGTGGAAACCTGGAGGTTGTTGAACTTTTACTGAGTCATGGTGCTGATCCAACTCATAAGTTGAAGGTGAGTTATTTTTTGTTGTGTTAGATCCTACTGCAAGATTATTCATAAGGACCAAAACAGAATGACCATATGACTTGATATTTATTTATTTTTAGCACATCTTCAAACCATCAAAAAAAGTCATTACACTAATTGTCCATGAAAGAAAAAAAAAGGGTTCTAAAATTTTTTAAAAGCAGGTTCCTCTTTAATTGGTGTCAATTTCCAAATTGTGATCTGTCATAAAGTAATTTATATATATATATATATATATTTCTGTAGATGCCTTTTTCAAGTTAATACTTCATAATGTTTTGTTAAAGGAAAATCATCAGTTACTCTACTTATAACACAGAGTTCACTGATTTACCGGAAGAAACCTTAAAAACTATTAAAAAAGTAAAATACATGTTTTAGCAGGATGATAATTATAGCATAGATATAGTTAATTTTATGCTTGACATATTACAGTGTAATACTTATTTATCAACTCACTTTTAGTTATTTGGTGCTTTTTATCTTTTGAGGCTGTTTACATATTCAGTTTTCTCTATCTTTCAAGTTAAATATAAAAAAATATACCAACTCACATTAGACAATACAATGGCCATCTAAGACTCAAAGTTTGATTCTGTTTAATAGGACCACACTTTATTCAACTGTTGAAGTTCAATTAATTTGTTAAATGGGATAATTGTGTTATTGTAGCTTTTGCTCATACATTTTAATTTATGTACTTTTATATCCCTTAATTATTCACTCTATTAACTTTAAACAAAATCTGTTTAGTAAATTAATATATATTTTGAAATTTCAACAGGACAACTCTACTATGTTAATTGAGGCTGCTAAAGGAGGCCATACAACAGTTGTTCAGCTGTTGTTAGATTATCCGGGCAATCTTCTTTCTTCATCGCTTCCACCTTCTGACGTAAATCAGTTAACAGCATCTGGCTCAGATCTTACTGAGGTATATTTTTTCTAAAGATAGCTGATGTTTTTTTTTAATAAGATTTGGGATTTCTCTTTTATGTGACTTTATTTTTCATGATGAATGAGGCCTCATTTTATCATGCATTGCATAAATCAGTTTTAACACTAATATTAATGACTTTTTCATTTTGCAAGAGAAATGCACAATTAATTTACTTGTTAAAAAGTACAAGACAAACAAATTTCGTTATTCATAAGTTAAACATAAAGCCAGCTAGATGTGTAGGGTAGAAAACTGCTGCTATCCTCCTTTTTTTTATAGAACCTACAATAAGTGTACTGCCATCATTCTTACAATATTTAATTCTAGAAATCTGATTCTTGAAATAAATGAGCTTTAAAGCATGTATGAGGTTATAGGATGTGCATAAGTATATTTGAGGAAAAAAAAATTATAAAACCATTTTCTTAGTTTTCTTGTTACAGTTAGTTCATAGCTACATGAAATTTAATCTTTGTTAAGTATGTTTTTCCCCCTAATTTTCAAATGGAGTGAAAAAACATAAAATTATTTAGTTTTACAAATTTGTTTATGTAAAGTAAAAAAGGGAACTAGGTAACCAAATGTGTTCTGTAGACAAGAAGGCTAATTAAATTTTACTTAGAAATGAGAGGAATAAAAGTACAAAAGTGGAAATACACTGGTAAAAGTAATTTGTGATGCAACTTGGCACCAAAAAAGGTTATAATTTTATTTATTTTTTAACATTTGTTTTTTGTAACCAATGAACTACTTAGTTGGAGGTGTTATTTGTTCAAGATATGGTTGAATGCAAATCAAACTGCTTTGCCTTTATGTGTTAAGAATATAGTTCAAATCTTTCTGTGTGTCTGTGCAATGTATTTTTTAATTTTGATGTTGGAAATTTATGGGGTGTGGTAATTTTGAGATTTATAAAGTGAAAACAGTAATGAAACTTGTCTTCCGAAATATTCTAAAATGCTTACTAAATAGAAAAATATGTCTAAAGTTTGAAAATATCAACATGTATAATGTCTAAGCTGACAAAGCTTGAAACATGTTAGGCCTTTTTCATCTGATAAACTATTTACATTTTGACATTGGATTCTTATAACCCAATGCAATCAGTGAAAACTCTGGTGAAGTTCTACAGTGATTCTGATACTCAAATCAATCTTCAGACCTTGACAGAGGAAGCAAGAGACTTAAATTGAATGATCTGGTAACAAGTTCTAGCTTGGCTGATTCTTTGAGTTGAAGGGAAGGTCTGCTATGCATTAACTTGTGTGCAAATAAAACAGATATGAAGCAACATTTTAAAAACTTCTTGTTTAAAAATCTTTATAAAATAAAATTAAAACAAATCGTAATTGGAAATTATGTTTTAATAATCACATAAAGGTTTTTTTTACTATACCATCTACATTTTGAAATTCTTTATGGTAGGTTATTAATATTACAAGTCTAAAAAATGAGTTCTTATAGTGAATTGAAGTCATAATGCATAATGAATAAGTATGCTAAAAACATCTTAAGTTGATGATTCTGAAAGTACATTTACTAGATGTATAATTGGACTGTGATAATATCTGTAGTCAAATATGATTCTGAAACACCTTCACTTTTTATTTCTGTAGCTTTTAGATCATAATCACTCATTAATGTTTTATAATTAGTAATAAACTTAATATTTGTTTAATGCCCAATTGTATTCACTAGAGACTTGTACCTGTCTTGTAAGTGTGAGGGTTAGACCTATAACATGGTGATTTGAAAATTGGCACTGCAACCTAACCTGAAAAAGTTTTTAAATTTGACCTTTCATGTCAAATATAGGAAAATTATCATTTACTCGATATCTTATTTAATGTTGTAGCTACTTGAGATATGTCAGAGCGACTATATATAGCTACACAGAAGTTGTATATTTATTCTTCCTTACGGTACCTGATAAAATATGGTTTATTACAATTTCAGGTTTGCACAGTGCCCAGTTTTTTTCAATTAATGAAACCATCTTGTGGTATCTATTTCAAGCTTTAACATAATTTGTCATATCAGTCTACCATTACTGAAATACCAATGATTTATAAACATATATCTTTAGATTAACATTTATTTATGTATATTAATTATGTAATGCTAGTCCATTAAAATTATGGAAATAATTTCATCATGTTGAACATGGTGGCAACAATCAGTAAGTAGGAAGCTGACCTAAAGATTATTGTAAAATATTGTTTTTTGTGTTTGCATATTTTTTTTACATAATGCCATTATTGCATTTAATTGATTGTTTTCATTCACATTATAAATTTTTTTGGCCCCCTTGCAGTTCAGTGGTAAGTCTGAGGGCTAATGCTAAAAATCTGGGTTTGATGCCCATGGTGGGTAGAGCACAGGATACTCATTGTGTAGCTTTTTGCTTAATAGTAAACAAACAGTTAATATTTTTTACTGCTTTTTATATGATCTTGATTTTCAGTTAATTTTTTTCGTTTACATGAACATTAATGTTTTTTGCTGTACCATCTGTACCATCCCACTGGACAGCTCTATATGACTAAAAAGTAACATGTCAAAGCCATTTATTTTTGGTGTTTAGCCAATCTAAAGCTACACTGTTAGAGCCATTTATGGGCTTTTATTGATCACTAGATGTTGTTAGGGAGGATTATATAAAGTTTTGCATACACCTGTGTCACACTCTTCTAGGGACAGGAAATCACTGATAGTGCATGAAGCAAACAACTAGTTTTTATGTGTCTTGTAAGTAAAGTTATATTCCATTCTTTTTTAATATTGTTTATTTAACAGTATTTCTATACTATTAAATAATGAACACTTATCTGTTTAATTATGAGGGTTGTTTTACATTGCTAGCTTAGTGCATGGATGTAGGACTAACCTAAATCTATTTATAGCTGGCTGAATCCCTTTACGTATTGGCATTACAAGTGAATAAGTAACAGTGAGAGTATCCAACTGATGATTCAGTGTATTCTAATCATTTTAAGTTTTTTGTTTCATGACCTAGTCAGAGTGGTATATTAAATTAGCAAAACCATTTACTGGGTTAATTTTAGTTCTTATCTATGCAGGTAGGTTGAAAGTTATTCATCATTAATCTGTGTTTAATTACATGAGGAAACTTAAGTCCTTGTGGTTTATTTATGTTGTAAAATAGTTATAATGCTAACTGTAAGAACTTGGCATTAGTTATTATATTGCATCACTTTTAGTGTTGAGCAGTAGATATATGATCATTGGATCTCAATTAATCTTAGATTTTGCTGATTGTATAATGTAAATATGTATAATTTACTATGTTAAACACATCTTAATGTATTGAACATAAGTCATGACCTGATGTAGTTCAGTATTAAAAGTCTTCACTGATATTTTATAAAAAGAAATAATGTTACAATAATAGTATTTATAAAAAAAAGTATTTGTTATTAAAATGAAGTGTTCACAAACTGTATATTTCAAATGATATTGTACAGTGTTTGACAATCTTTTCATTAAGCTTTTGTGGTAAACATATAAATTGGTGAAGGCTCTTCCTGCTTCACCAAACCAAGGTTGAAGCAATAACTGGTAATGCTTGTGTTGATTTGAGACATTAACTCTTTTTTTTTATGTTATTTAATTGCCGTGACCTTATGAAACTTTATTAGACAGCGAAAGTAAGATTTGTTAATTGGGCCATAAAACCATATATTATTACCTGCCACCTGTAATTAACCAGCGATTAGTTTTCAACTCACTGAGATATTTGACACAGAGAGTTGATTGCTTATGTTACCTGTATTCTATTAAAATTAAGTCATCATTGTTATCAAATAAACAGAAAAGCACACAAGTCTTGATCTTCCTCATCCAAATAATTGTCTAACAGAAAGTTTTGTTTAAAATTATTTATTTTTAATAATTTAGTATGGATTTCATCTGTTAATGAGAAAGCTTAACACAAATCATGTGTTTAAGTATTGCATTTACAAGCTAATAATGATGAAGTGTATATTTTTGTTTCTTGAAATAAAACCATACACGTGATGGCACACTCATATGATTATGCACTGGTTTGTTATTCTTTTCTAGCAAGGTGCAAATCTGTGATAGCAAACATTTACTAGTAATCTCAACTAGCAAAAGAACAGTAATTCAACATTTTAATGAGCATTTTGTTAGTTGACTAGCATATTTGAATTCGTATATGAACAGTTAGGTGCACATCCTTGCATTAAAATTTCATGCTTAAAACTGAATGTTAACTTCTTTTAAACTTTTGCTTAAAAAATTGCAGATAATTAGTATAACCACAGAATTAAACCTGATTTATCCACATTGGTGTTTTCTGTTAGAGATAAAACAATTTTTTGTATATTGTTAACATCATTTCAAATTTGCTATATTTATGTTCTTGAATATTACGAGGGAAGAAAGCACACAAAACACAGGATTCTTCAAAGTATCAAATACATTTTAGTTTTACAATCTTCTAAACAAGTATAAAAAATTTTTACTGCAGTTACTTGGATATTTTATAATTAAAAATTCTAAAACTCAGAGAAATCAGAGAATATTCCATTAACTTGAATCTCTATAGATGCCATCTTTAGTTTTGCAAACATACACAAAGCAATTAAAAACATACCCACATTGTTGCCAAACAGAACTTGGAACAGTGTATGCCCTAACAAAAAAAGTGGAGCATGACTGATAAATATAGTTTAATTGAAATTTTACTTAAAATATAAACTCATGAAATTTAGCTAAAAACTAAATCATATTTATTTTAAATAAATCAAACTTTAAAATAGTACTAAATATGAGTCAGCCAAGGTGGTTGTCATATTGGTGATTGAAAATGATTTTATCAGTTGCCAATACCAAACTTTAGAGAACATGGCAAAATAAAGTATGAACCAAGCTGTTTCTGTATTCCATTGTTAGAAACATGACATTTCTTATTTGCATATAAATGTTTTGGTCATTTCATTGCTTGGAAAAAAAAAACCCTCATATTTTTGTATTACAGTGTCAGTGTGAAGTTCAAACATTGTTATACAAGAAAACTTTCAGTAACTTTTCCCCAATTGGTTTAGGCCCCTCGGGTGCCACCTCATGGGCTTCAAGTAATTACACCACAAGAGATGGACCAGGCTGTACCTGCTGGTCACACGTATCTTACTAACGTCCAAACTGGTAAGTCTGTCATAGCAGTTTATAACAAAAAAATTAAGATGCAACTTAAAACTTTTCTTAAAAATTGAAATAAAGTAAGTAATAACTTAATTTCTAATATGTAAATCTTGCTAACAACCTTTGTATTTCTCTAGACAAAGAGACTTGTGAGTTAAGTTTGTAGATTTAGGATTAGGTATATGATGTTTTGAAAAGTCTGGCCTTTTTTTTTTAAACAGTAGTTTTGAAAAAATTGAATCACATTAGGTTTTAAGCATCATACAACAACAGAAATTTTGGAATTTATTTATCATATGAAACAAGAGTCTGTACTGATTACAAAGCAAAACTTTTAGAATAGTTGTATGAAACAGGTATTGGAAACTAACTGTGATTGGCTACAGTGTTGATATATATATTTTATGATTAGGATTGATTAGATAGCTTAAAATGATTTAGTTCATGTTTGTATTGTTACAACATGTGGAGGGGCAACATCCTGCATGAAAACCTAGTGTCTATCACATTTCATTGCTGCAGCTTGGAAATTACTCTGGTTTTGAGAATTGCATTGACCCTGTAAGTTTTCACTCCGTGTACTGATGTTACTTCAAAATAGTATGGTCTAGTAACAAAGCCACCTGTTAGCATTATGGAAGTATGTAGGAAATGTTATATATGGCATAGTTTCTGACCAGATGATGCAGTTGCACACATTAACACTTCCAGAAAGAGTGAAGTGTGCTTCATTAGTCCATAAGATATTAGCAAGTCATTGTTCATCAACTTCCAGGTTTACCAAAAAGTGACACAAAATATTAACAAGTTTGATTAAATCCATCACCTTCAGTGCTTGAAAGTGATCCATTTTGTAAGGAAACATTTGAAAAGTTGACCGAAGAGCCTTATAAACAGATGAAATTGGCAAATTCATACATTGGATAACAATTTGCACCGCTACACCCATGTGCACTTCTGCTAGCTTGTCCTGCTATGGTATGGTTGACTTCAGTGATAGTTTCAGTAAGTGTTGATGGTCTGCTTGTATGTAACTTATTACAAGTTCAACCTATTTCCTCAGTATCTTTATGAACTAGCATGCAGCATGATAATCCCTGAGAGCTGCCTTGACATTGCATCCTTTGTTGTAGTAACATGTAACTAGTTCATCTATCTGCACATTTGTCAGTTTCAAATGGGTTGAATGAGCTGCACTGCATTTGACAGGTCCATTGATACTCATGGAAAATATGTGAAAGAAGCCACAGTGGTGCTTCATTTGGCATAATGTGGCATTTGTGTCTGCATGATATCTTTTACAGCTCCGTGCAATTTCACCTTCATGTGACATACCGTTTGTGAGATATGATGCTGTGAACTGTAAAATCTTTCTTTGTAATCACCCTGTATATAACAAAAATAATAAAAAAAACATTTATTAATTCTATACTACAATTCATAATATTTTTATTTTATAGTAAACTCTGCCATAAGTATTGTTTTATGTGCTGAAATGTTCCTAAACTTACATATTGGTTTATCTGATCTTATTTGCATCAGTAAAAATAAAAAACTAAGCTACTGCACATATATGTGTGATCTGCCATAATTTTTGTGGGACTGATTTTAATGTTCTTAGCACTATTATTCAGGAGCTAAGCATGGTCCAGTGATTAGTGTGCTAGATAATGAATCTGTGATTTCATTATTCATATCCAGTTACAGAAAGAAGAAAAAACTCTTAATCCATATCTCTTGGGCTGTGGGTGTATTATAAGAGTGTTTGTAAAATCCCATTATTCAGTCAGACAGAGTTTCCCAAGAGTTGGAGGTGGTGGGTCCTGTTAACTTGCTACCCTGTCTTTAGTCTATCAGTTCAAAATTAGAGACATAGCTTAGACAGTACTTGAACAGATTTGAATGAATATCGAAATACAAACAAACAAATATTTAATGTAATTTTACTGAAACTATTTCACATTTATGTTTGTGGTAAAATTTATACAGCACTATATGTTAAATTATTAAATTACGTATTATCATGAAAACATTTTATTTATCGCTTGCTGTTCTTAATTAATTTCTCAGACTATGTAACACACAAAACGTTTTTGCCTAAATACATAGGTACATAAATGTACATCATTTCATATTTCTGATTATTTATTCATACTTCAGTGACTCGTAGTCTTATTTTAACTCTGCCGGACCTCTACCTTGTGTGTATAAAATTTTACACTTCTTATCAGATACAGTTAACAAAGGCCTAAACCAAATAATGCTGAAACTCTAAAGCATTTTACTAGTCAACACTAACTTTCACATTTTAGTAACTATCCTTTCCACTCACATTCAGAATTAAGTTTTTAAATAGACTTAGTCATGACATGGATTGACCTAACTCCATTAGTGAAAATGTCAAATAGTCCATAAGATTTAAGTGAAGGAAAGTATGAACTAGAGATGGGACACTATTAGCTATCAGCAGTGTCCCTACAGGCCCCTGTTGGATATGTAATTGATGTACAATGTGTTGCTGGTTCGCATTTCTTAATTTTCATGTGTAATGCTAGTGTAGTGACCAAAGCATGACATATTGCATGTACACTTTTTAAGAGGACCATATAGTTAAGTAGTGTATCCATAACTGTGTTTGCTTGGTGAACAGAATCTGTTGGTAAAAAAAATGTGTGTGTGTGTACACTTTGGATTTTATATTATTAAGTAAAATATTGTACTCTTATATTGGAACAATGCTATTACTGGTGGTTACTGGTAAATTTTGGTAGTACTTGGTGAGACCCATGCATATGTCTACTGTAATCAGAAAAATTTTAAATGATTTAAAGAAAATCACTGAAGTCAAACTTCTTGGGAAAATTGTTTCTCATTTCTTCCTTTGAGTTTGGATAACAAAAAATAGCAAAAGGAACCAAATGCTGATAGAAAAAAACTGATAAAACTTTTAGTTCATGATTAATTGAAAGATGAAAATCCCATCACATTGTTTGGAAACATGAAATGGTAGGGAAAAAGTTAAATATATTATTTATTTGCAAGCAAGCCTACAGATATGTATGTTATGCCAGTAAGCTTGTAAGTGTGTAATTTGCAATAATAAGAGCAACTATAGATTACTGGGTTGAATGTAAACTGTGTGATTTGGATATAGCATTTTCATGAGTTGGTTTAACTTTGATAAGCTCTGGATTTTAGATTTTTTATAACTTTTTATCTTGGTAAAACTTTAAGAATAGGAAGCTCTTTTAAAACCTAATGATGTGTTTCAGGCATTTTAGTGACTTTGCCATTAAAAATTAAATATTCTTCACACAAGATTAGCACCATTGGCTAGTCATGCTAATCACCAACAATGTTAGAATAGTTTGACATACTTTTGTGTTTGGTATATTATTAATATCATTATCAGGTATTTCGCACCTTGTAAAATGTTTTTTCTCTTTCTGTTCTTCAAAGTTCCTCATATCCATGAGCCTGTACAAGTGAAAGATGCCTTACAGTGTAATACTGCGCAAGTTAATGCTAAACAAAATATGCAAAAGTTAGTACAGAAGAAGCTAGCGATGTCACGAGGTCTAGAGGCCCCCTCTTCCTTGCCTGGAGAAATGCAGTCTTTAAAATGGCCACTTCCCCAGACCAAACCTTGTGCTGCTGCTCAGACCACCTCTGTTAGCATTCAGGCAGATGTTACTGCGCAGGAATCCATACAAGAGTGTAGTGAGATGAGAACTAGTGGAGCAGGCAGTGAAATCAAGGAGGACAAGGACCTAAAGCCCTGTGAGAAACTTGAGGCTTGCATTAACACCATGATGAAGAAAGCTGAAAGACTGAATCCTAGCCGAGAGGAACAAATAATTCAAAAACAACAAATTCTTGAAGAGTTACAACGAGTTGAGAGAGAGCTTCAGGAAAAGGCCCAAACACAGTTATACTTAAGCGCTCAACAACAACAGCAACACCATATACAAGCTTTAGCTGCTGCTTCCCAAACAGTCTCAGCAGTTCCTATCTCTGGTGCCCTTCCACCCAGCTCTAACTATGGTCAGCAAGTGCTTCTAGCCAACACCACACTTCTTGACATGGGGCCACTTTCCACATCTGTAATACCTGATTTTTCTGGAAGCCTTCTTAGCTTAAAATCTGCTGCACACCATATTACTGCACCAGCTACTTTTCAAACTCTTCAGACACAACAATTGTACCAACAACCAAATGTTCAAAACCAGTTTGTTAATCTGGCAACGTCTGTTTCTGAGCATGTTAAAGCTAGAGTTAACAAACAAGCTTCTAAACAAGCTAAAAACAATGTACTTAAACAGCAGCAGTCTCCCATCTTACAAAATAAATCACAGCCACTTCATTTTTCTGGTGAAGCTTTTGATCATTCTGAAGAAATAGAAAAGATGAATATGAGAAATGTAGCAATATCTGACCCTCAGTATTTGTTACAGCAGGGCCCCCAGCAACAATGTATGTTTCCAGATTTTTCTCAAAACTTGAATGTGAGAGGAAGCACTCATCTTTCTGAAAGCTCTTCTGATATTTTGTTGCAACCTGCTGGTAGCATTAGATTTACCATGGACCCAACCCAGACTCATTCAGTTCCAATCATAGATCCTGTAGCTGTCAGTCAAGCATTAGCACTTCAGCAGCAGCAGTTACAACAACAACAGCTTCAAAATCAGCAGCAACAGAAAAGTGTACAACAAGAAAATAAAAGACAACAGTATGGGGAGAAACAAAATAAAGCAATGAAAAGTAAGAACTCTAAATCACAACAAACCCAGCAAGTAACTCAGCTTGTAAGTCACCAACAGTTTGTTTTACAACAACCACAAATCCAAGCTAATACCAGATCAGCCTTATCTACTTCAGAATCTCCCCTTTCTTTAGTGAGTAACCTTTCAATGGATACAGCCAGTATTCCTGCATTAGGAGGGTTGGTCCCTCCTTCATTCCCAGTTTCCTTAGCTTTACCTGCAACATACACCTCTTCAGCTGGCGGCAGTAGTTCCCGATGTGGGGCAGTATTTACACCAAGTTTTTCTATTGAAGATGGTTTGATGGTGACCAGTCCTGCAAGATCTCTTCATGACACCTTAGGTGATATTTTATCCAGTGAGTGTTTTTTTTTTAATGTTAGGTGATGTATAATATTTTTTGTTTGTTTGAAATACTGTTGTTTTGCAACTTTTAATTTTCTACTTAATAAGGTTTCTTTTAAATATATATTCTCAAAACAAATGTTTATAATTAATTGTGACTGAGCTTTTATTTCTATAGTATAGGTGCATAGAAATACTTTTGATTTGATAAAAGTCTTAGTCCACGCAATGCAGTGTTTTAAATATTTAAAAGAAATTGAAACAGTCTACCTCCAGAAGCAAGCTACTTATTGTTATAAATTTGTAAAACTTTTTTTTCCTATTTTTGAAAATTAGAGTATTAAAAATTTTATACTATGCAGTTTAGGTTTACATAAGGTGTATTTAATAAAAGTGGATGAAATTTCATACTGGAATAATCTATAAACATTTTTTCTTTTCTTTTTTATACAGCTTTGTAGTTCTCTCATTTAAATAGTTGTGATACTTTTATAATGAGGTATGATTTTAACCTGCAGGTTCTACTACTCATCTAGCTGGGAGTCCTCAGGAAGTATTAGGCTGCCAAGCTTCTGTACAAGCCCATTGTGTAAATCCTTCTGTTGCTACTACTGGTGCTGCTTTAGGTGTTAATATGGGAATGGGATTAACCATGACCTCATTTCCAGCAGTTAGGTATCCAACAACCACTTTACCTTTAGCCTTCCACGAATTAGCCCCAGAAGTGACATCAGCCATTCCTAATCTTGGTTTGGGTGTTGTGTCCACCACTGGTATGGTTCCTACATACCATCACCACTCACAACTGAGTCAGTCTGTGGCAGGAACTACAACTGCTTGTGCTCAAGTACAGCCCTCCATGCTCCCTCCTCTTGACCTTGATTCTCAGACAGATAGCAATCATGATACTGCTCTAACCTTGGCATGTGCTGGTGGTCATGAAGAACTTTCAACTCTTTTGCTTCAGAGGGGAGCCAATATGGAACACAAAGACAAAAAAGGCTTCACTTCACTTATGTTAGCAGCTACAGCAGGGCATGGAGCAGTGGTAGAGATTCTCATCAATCATGGCACTGACATAGAAGCTCAGTCAGAGCGAACCAAAGACACTGCCCTGTCCTTAGCTTGTTCTGGAGGTCGTTTTGAGGTGATATTTGATTTTGAATTATATAAATTTTCCAAATATCTTTAATATACATATAATTTAAACTATTCTCTAAATTAGTTATGTAAAATATAAATTTCTTTATTTGAATAACATTTATCTGAATACATCAGGTAATAAAACCTAATAGCTGTGAATTATAATTTCAAGCTATATCAACTCTTCATCAGTTTAACTGGGGCTGTTTTAGTAAGAAATATCACTCAGTTAATATTTATATGATTATAATATTTTCAAGACAACCTGAAAATCATTAGTAATGCAAAAGAAAATTGTTCTTTGTTAATATTAGTTAGCCTTCCAATATGGTACATTACCCCCTTTCTTGTTCAGTGCTACCATCTATATGCAAAAATGTTTTTGCATGCCACAAGCCACACATGGTGCATGCCATATGTGGTTCAACTGTATCTCGCATGTAAGTCATCAAGTGACAACCCTCCACCAATAGGAGTGCAACATACCATCCTGTCACTTTTTGTTAGGCAGTGATTGAGTGCAGAAGTTTTTCAATTGTGCTGTTTTTGTGTTTATTCCATTTTCTTGTGAAGTAGTGATCTACTTGATTTATTCATTTGCCACAGTTAGTTTTTTCTGTAGCAGTTTGTCGCAATAGCTTACCTTTTGTATTGATTTCTTTTTTCATTTTCGAAGGCTTAAGATGAATTGCGAAGTTTGTGTTTTACAACTTCTGATATTATTACCACTATTTCATATGCCATTACTGGCTTCAGGTCTGGGGGTCTCAACTGAGGATTTTTTGGCTGTCATTTGTCAGGAGATTGATCGTTATATAAGGTATCCTTTTTCTCCTGGCCATGTTAGGTTTTCTCCTTCATTGTCTGAATCTGTTCATGACGAAGGATTTTAACAGTTTTTTTTTCCTCCTCCTAACTATGCCATGCCTTCCCTATGCAACTATGAGATCTACTAGGCTTAACTCTGCCTTTTTGAATATGCATTCTTAGGTGCGTTCCATTTTAACAGATGATACTGTTCCGTCTTTTTTTTTACATGACACCCATTATTAGGGTCCCTTGTTTTTCCTCCCTTCCCTGACATCTGGGTTCATGCTGAGCATTTTGTTTCTCTGTTGAGGACTGGTTTTAGCATGCATTGTCCTCTATGGACTTCTGATCTTTATTGACCCTTTCTCGACTTCCAGCAGTTGGAGTCACTTTTGAGAATGTGGGGGGATTGTCCCTAATAATCCTATCCATTTCTCCCATGTCCATTTTCTCACTTTTGTCTTACTCTTACAGCTCTCCTGCAGTACTTGTCCAACATGCACCTCCTTTCTGAAGCACTCCACTGATCCCCTGAGGGTTTCTTGGGAGATACACTTTCCCTCCTTCTTTGTGCTGTTGTCCTCTTCAGCCTTGGTGGTTTTGTTGCTGTTGGAATAATATTTGGAAGGATGCTGTCTTTTCATAGATTCGTCTACATTCCCCTTATCTTTGATTTTGGAGATTTTCCAGAGTCATTGGAATTACATATGGACTCGCAGAGTCCACATTCGACCCTTTAGTCTTTGATTACTCGTTTTTCTCATTGTGATACCATTACCTCTCCCATAACTGTTTCTCATCTTGCAACTTCCTGTCCTTTACCTGTTCTTGCAACTAGGGGTTTGAAATTTTGCCATGTATCTCGAAGTAGGGTTCATTGCTTTCAGGTGGTTTCTAGTCCAATGGAGGCACGATTTGCCAATTTCGTTCCCCTGTTACAGTTACTCACAACTGATTCTTGGGTTATCCAAGTTTTGTCAGAAGGATTTTTTTTTCCCTACTCTTCCTTTCCCCTCCCACTTTGTCTTTTGTACTCCGGATCCAGCTACCTGTCTGAATCTATACAAGTTTGTGCTGACCTTTCTTTTCCAGAAAGCTATCAAGCCTGTCAGCCAGCCTTCTCCAGTTTTTTGTCCCGTGATTCATCTTTCCTGCCTCAAACAATTTCTGGTTCTTTCCCAATTTCACATGGAATCCTTTATGACACTCGAGGGAATTTTTTCTCCAGGTCAGTCTCCTATTCTCGTCAGTCCAAATGATGTCTTTGGTTTGTCTACAACATGGTTATGTATCAGTCTCACACTTGGTCTTTCAGGCTTTCTTCAGCATCGTATGTATTTTGTTCAGTGGTCATGGCTTTTGCCAGACTTCTGCATGCTCTAGGATTGTGTTTACACCACTACATGGACAACTGGCTCCTGTTAGCTCATTCAGAATTGGAGTGTTCTTAACACACACATCTGCTGCTGACAGTAGTAGCTTGTGTTGGTTGGATTCTAAGGTTGGTGATGTTTCTTTTTGCCTACCCACTAGCTTATCCACTGGGGTGTATTTTTCCACACACCCTAAAATGGGCCCATCCTTCTCCATTTTTTCTCTGTTTGATAGTGTTTTTAGTTCACCATGCATTTACTGCTTCCTCTGTTTCTGCACAAAAGGTTCTGTCACTTTTGAAGACTTGGGCTTCTGTGGCAGCCTTTATTCTTTTGGGTTGGGTATCTATGCATTCTCTTCAGAGGTCTCTACACAGCCCATGGAATTTTGCTTGGGATCCCTTGGACTCCCCAGTTACCCTTCCTCCTTCCCTAACTGACTATCTGCATTTGTGATTGAAGAAGGACAGTACAGAGAAGGGAGTACCTCTTTCTCTACTTCGTCTAGATTTGCATCGAAACACAGATGCTTCTCTCCAAGGTTGTGGAGTGTTGTCCGTCAGAAATAGGGTTTTGGGCCATTGTCTAAGATTGTAATGTCTTACCATATCAACTTCTTGGAGATTATGGTGGTATGCCTTCTTTGGTTCATTTTCTTCCACTGGTACAGTACCAACACGTCATGTTCCATTCTGACAATTCCACTGTTGTGGCCTATTGGAGCACTTGTTTCTGTTCTCTTTGTGGTCGAACATTGGACCTCCTGTGTTGGACTAATATGCTGCAAATAAATCTTCTTGTGTGTCATGTTCCGGGTGCCTTTTCCCTTGTGGTGGATTGTTTTTTAAGTCCCAACCAGATTTATCCCATGGAGTGGTTTTTGGACCCTCAGGTTTTCAGGTGGGTGTGTAATTTGTGGGGTACTCCTCATCTGGATGATTTTGCCATTTCACTCCTACACAAAGTTAACTCTTTTTTTTTGGCCTCCGGTTCATCATCCTCAGACCCTGGCAGTGGATTTTCTCATTCAGAACTGGACCAGCCAGTTCCATTTATGTTCCTTCCAGGTTTGATGACCTCCTCATTGTGTGATTATTCCAGACTGATTTTTCCTACTCAAAACTTTGGCGGTTCGTGAGGGTCATTCTTCATTCTACATTTTCTCTTCCATCCGTTCCCCACCTTTTTTGCCAGTCTGCTCCATATGGACTTCTATGTCCAGTTTGTGATTTTCATTGCTCCATTGCGTGCATAGCCTCCTTTAGTGGTTCCTGTTTCCACCTTTTCATTACATTGGCATCATTTATCTTTGCGTGACCTTTCTTCTTCTACCCTTATGATTTGGAATCATCAACTGCTTCTGTTGGTCTATTCCTCCCTGTCTTTTTCTTTCCAAAATTCTGTTCCAGGTGTCTTTGCTTGAGATCGTGCACCTTTCTTTTTTCCTGGAGCCTCACCTCTGTCATCCATTGGAAGAAACTATTCAGTCAGGCATGTGGCTTACTCCTCATCTCCCACTATCTTCATTGGGTAGCAGTTTCTTCCACATTGGGGTACGTCCTTTCACCTGTTGCCACCCTTCAAACTTCAGTGCGGCCGTAACTGAGCAAGTTATATAGGTTTTTCCCACCAGGGGCATGTCCCATTTAGGATTTGGATCCCACTCTATATCTCAAATCCGCACTGTACAGCTATACAATATACCCATGGCCAATAACATACTATTAAGATGAGGTGTTCCAAAAGGTTGCTAATGGGTTTCCTCATGATATATTTGCTTCATTAATATGCCCGTTCCAGACCGTACTAGCTGCCCATTCCTTCGATTGAAAAAACCAGTGGCAGTTTGCATTTGAATATAGGGTTTTCGTGGTCACCTGTTACACTGTCTCCACTGTTGGCATTTCTTGGGACTCTCCACTGTGTTTTATTCTTTTTTTGTTCTTCTAGTGGAGTATAGGAGTCTTTGCCACTTTCAGTTCCGAGCTGCTGGGTTGGTGGACCTTGAAGGAGTCCTCCTGAATGTGTTCACTTCTATTCTGTAGAGAATATGGTGGTGGTGTTCTGCTGGGGTAGATGACATGTGATCCTCTAATCATATTCTCCACTTCCATGCAGTGGGTCCCAAAGGTTGATGCTGCATCCGGTTTCTGTGTGGTCTTATTCGTAGGGCGAGATTGCTTATATTTTCTAGATGGGATCCACTTCTGTGTGGCGGGACATGGAGGGTGATGTTGCATTCCAACTTCTGTATGGTCTTATCCGGGGAATAATGTTACGCATCTCTACAGTTAAATATGCTCCACCTCTCTGTGGTGGCACTTAGAGGTTGCTATTGTGCTCCAGCCTTTGTGTGGTCCTATTCTGAAAGGATTTTACTTTGGTGTAGATCTGTCACATTGCAGTTCACCCCTTTGATTGGAATCCCTCATCCTACCATCACCTGGATATTGGTTCCGAGTGAATGGTTTTTGGATTAGAGCTGGACTAGTCAACATAAATCCTCACACATGTATTGGTTGTGTTACCTCTTCCTCACTCAATTTGTCTCAGGATCTCCACTCCATGCAGTGGGTCCTGGAGGTTGATGTTGCACCCAGCTTCTATGCATATTTGTCTGGAGGGTGAGGTTGGTATATATTTCTAGAGGCAATCCACTTCCATGCATGTAAGGTTCTATCTGGAGGATGATGTTGATTGGAGCTACAGTTCTTCATCTTGCGTTTTACCTCATGATGTTTTCACTGCCTAAGGCTGATTTGCTTAGTTGGGTGCCAGGCTGATTGAGTTTGATGTGACCTACCACATGGGCACATCTTTTTATACCATTTAGATGTCAGGTTCCAGGATGGGTGGTTGGTTGTATATCCTTCTGTTCTACTTAACTTGAGGTGAAGATGGTTTGGACCCTTCTCCTACCATGGTTCTGTTTCCAATACTGCTTGGTTTTGGACTGGAGTTGACCAGCTGCTTCTTCAATTTTCACTTTCCCCACAGTCCTGCTTGTAGATGGTTCTTCAACAGTCTTTCTTCTGTGGGATTCGGATTCTAACCCAACCAGTTGTCTCTCCCTTTTTGGTTGTGCTCTTTCCACTTTCCGCCCATATATGCAAAATTTGTTTCAACACTGGGCACAGAGTAGATCTGGTATAGAAGTGGTGCAGTCTACCACGCATGTTCCTCTTCTAATGAGGATCACACTTTATGAGTGTTCTTTGGACACTTTCAAAGGATACTTTGATATAATATTTGATATAAGTTTTTGCTTAAACTCTTGTATTCTCTCATTGCAAAAACATTTATGAGGTTTTCTAGCTAGATCTGTCACTATATGAATAGCTTCTTCACCTTTTGGTTCTTTAAGCCAGTGCTTCTCAAATGTATTGCTTATCAGGGTCTCTATTTTGCCAGTCTTCATACTCATAGCCTATTTCAAATTTTATTTAAGGCCACCCACCAGCCCTACCTTATTGTGGATTCTCTTATTTTGCAAAAAAATTCCTTATTATTTGAGCAAAAGACATTTCTGCAAATGTTCAGTTTCTTTACAGCCTTTAGTGTTTAGTTTGAAAATAAATTACACTACAAAAAGTATAAAATTAAAAGTGCTGTAATGGACTTTCAACTTGTAGTATTGTCCAATGTCTTCTGCACTTTCATAAAATGCTCCCTTCTTTTGTCTGATCAAGTAGCAGAAAAACCTTTTTATAATATCAGATACAAAAATTTATTGCTACAGGGAATGTAGTGTAACTGTCAGTGGGGTACCTGTGTCTTTTTTAAGTGAGTACAGCTGTTCCATTCTTGGAGTTGTGTGAGTTCTCACTGCACTGTTTACCTTGTCAAAGCAATTTATCACAAAACAGAATGATATCGGTGCATTACTGAGAAGCAAGCTAGCTTATGCTATGAATTGCAGCAATTTACTTTATTGGTCCAATGTAATAACATATTTATTTCATGTGAGCTGTTGATGGGCTTTGTTTTTTGTAAAAATGGAAAATTATTTATATCATATACTTTCACGATCTTCCCAGACACCCTTCACAACCATCTTGAGGTTTTCTACCCGTAGTATGTTAAAGAGTGCTGTAGATTATAATATATGCAATATTATGTTGTGTTACATATCAAACTAATACCATAACGGAGAATTATGTTTTGAAACGTTATCCACTCTCTTTCGGCAAACAAGGCCAAAAGCTAGAAATTTCACACAACTCTGGCCCCTTTCCCTATTTTTTGGCAGTATTCATACTTGTGACTCCCCATACCTTGCCTATTTGTCTTGGAGAAATTTGTTGTGTAGGTTTTTGTACTTGTGTTTTGTTTACATTATGTGATACTTAATTCTAAGTTAAAGTATTTTCTTAGAAATTGTTCAGCTGTTGTTTATTTTACCTATACTTTATTTCTTACCTGTATTGATCACTTTAGGAATTACTCTCTTTTGAACATGCAGAATTTTGAGACTATAGAAAAAATGTATGCAACTTTGTCAACTTTAATTATGTTTTTGTACAATATACATCTTGTTATTTTTTAGGGGATTGAAATAAGTAAACTAAGTTATATTTGTACAAATGTGATTGTAACTTAAGTTAACTGAATACTATATAACAATAATTATTTGATTCATTTGATGTAAGCTTGATTAATTGTTATATTTTCTTGCGATGTTTTTCTATTATTGCTTTTACTTTCCTTATCGTTTTAAAGCTGTACAACCAGCTTTGAGAAAAAGTTAATGTTGCTTTATAATGACTTGACTGCTGAGTTATGCATGAAATAAAACTTACATTAGTAGAGAATTAATATATAATCAAACTATTTTATTTTGCTTCTCTTTGATAGGTAGTAGAAATTTTACTGGCAAGAGGAGCTAACAAAGAACATAGGAATGTATCAGATTATACTCCTCTTAGCCTTGCTGCCTCAGGTGGATATGTAAACATTATCAAACTCTTGTTAAATCAAGGTGCTGAGATTAACTCCAGGTAGGGTGTATGTGTTTGCAACTCTTCATTTACGCTGGTTTTCCATAGTATAAGTCAAAGTTAAGATAATAGGAAAGATATCTTTACTTAATACAGATGTTCAGTAACTTTTTAAAAAATGGATTTTCTTTTTGAAGAGCATTTTATTATGCTTTTTTATTTTTACCAAAAATGTTGGAACAGCACACCCTGGCTAGTAATAGGCTTATCCTCGTTGAACATCCATGTGAAATCCATGTTGAATTTTTGTGAGAGTCTATAAGAGAGAGTATTAGCCATAAGCTTTTTCAACAGTCTTCAGGAAGTGTAAAAGTAATAGTTTTTTGTTTTTTTTAGATTTAGAAAAATTTTTCTAATTTATTTTACTCCATCATAATTATTTTCTTTAACAGCTTAGAAACATTTTGGGATAAAAATATTAGTTTCGTTGGAACATATCTTAGGTCCAGAATTTTATTTTAGAGCTCCTTAAAACTATTCAGCTTCCAGGAATCACTTATTTTCAGCTATTATTTGTAGCCAAAATTTTGATAGACTCTTGCTCTTTATTTAGCACGTACTTACCCAGCCATTTAGATTGATTTTTCTATAAGTAAAAAAATAATAATATTATTATTTTTCTGTCAACATTTTACTCATCTATAGTATTTAGCTAAACTACATGACTGCCTTAACTCTCTCACTATGGGCTCAGTCTCAGGGACAGACCTTGGAACCATTTTGTGTTTGTTATAGTTTTGATACTATAACTATTAATACAGTATGTGTATTTTCACAAACATTTGCAGGTTATCAGTAAACATTACAAGGCTTTAGTATACAAAACATCAGATTTTTAATTAAGTTTTACTTTTTTTTAAGTAATGATTTACCCATGTATTTTTTTCTTTGCGAATGTTGAATATCCAACATGCAAAGTAATTTTGATTTTAAGATTAAAAATACTTTTATGCATCAGAAAATTGTGAAATTTCACATGCAAAATCTTTATAACCTCCAAATAATTATCAAACGTTTTTTTTAGAAAAAACTTTATATGGGTTTGGTCAATTTGACTGACCTCTTAACTAACACAAAAATTAGCAAATATAAATTAAGCTTTTTTCGTTCTAGATTGACTATAAATTATAATAAGAGACCATAATTGTTTAGTCTAAGTAACTTAAATCTCATAACATTATACACTTATATATATATATATATATATATATATATATATATTATTTTTTATT